AGCTGCCTTAACCACCACACCACATGCTGACTCCATTGTTCAATTTCTTTAAGAAAAAGCCACTTGGGATTTTGTTAAGGAGATTAGGTAGTAAATGCCCAGCTTTCTCTATGCTCTATGCTCTAAAGCAGAGAAGAAGGGAGATGAGAATGACTGCGACAGAGTCCTTTATACAAATCTTCAATTACTGCTCCTATCTACAGCTTTACTCCTCATTAACACCTCTATTATATGTATTAATTCTGAGTCCAGCCCTTCTCCAGGTTCAAATGGTTAGATCTGCTTTCACCTCTGCCATGCCCTTCTAACACTCTCTGGGCTGTGCCTTCTCCATTTGTTTCATTTGATATAATCCCCTCTCCATTTTTCCTAGAATTATTTAAATCTCTCAGTTATGATTCTCTCTCAGTTCTATTCATAATTCTGGTTTATTGTTTTTCTCTTCATATAACAATATTTTTGTTCTATAGGCTCTCAGGAAGGGCATTAAGAATATACCTTTGTTTGGTCCATCATCATCTTGAACAAATTTCTATCACTTTTATGATAAGAAAAAAAAAAAAAGAAAAGAAAAGATAAAGTCAAAGCCTTTTTTGCTTGCCAAATTTTCCAGTAATAAATCATTAAAAGTTGTTCTGTTAGCCATTCTTTTCCAAAGTAGCCATTATATGAGTTTTATGTAAAGCCTTTATTCAAGACTTCAGTTATGCCCTTTGAAGATGTTAAAACTTGTAGGAAGATACTGATTTGGTCTAAGCCCAAATCAATGTACTGGGTCAAACAGATGATACCAATATGGAGTCAATTCATGCTAAAGGACACTAATTTAGAAGTATACTCAAGTAACAAATAGGTGAGTTTCAGTTAGTCATGGCAGCTGAGCTTTAGTCAATCACAAGTGGCCAACAACTCCAAATAAGACAACCCAAGTAAGCTCTATATCTCACTACCTTGCTCTATATCTCGCTATCTCTCTATATATCTCACGTCTGTCCTTGTACTTCCTTTTCCTCTCCATAACTACTGCCTGACCACATTGATGGTCTGAGTTCTTTGAATTTGTTCCAGTTGTGAGAGCTGCCCAATTCAAGTATCAAGAATAAAAAATCAATATTTTTAAATTTGTTAGAATTTTCTCTTTTGATAAAGAGTAATGGGATTTTAAGGATAGTTCTATTGGGTTGTCAGGAAAGTCATGACACATCTTTGCGTAGAAAAATAATTCATGACTTTCTCAACAACCTAATATATTACTTAACTCTTACATTTCTCTCTGTCTCTCTCTCACACATTCTCTTGCATGTACACACTCTTGCTCTCACTTTCATTCTCCTTCTTTCTCTACTTTCCCATACAGATTAGAGGGGAAATGATATGACAGGAGTACCATTAGAAAGACCTGTTTGGAAGGAGAAATGGCATTCAGGATCTTCACCATGGTAAAGGTAGAGTTGTTTGTGACTTCTTGTACAGCAGTCAAGATATGTTTTGCAAACTCGCCATCTCTCTGAATCACTATCCACCCAGAATATGGGTATTAATTAAACAGTCTTGAGTAAACAGTGAAAAAGTATGAGTGCCTGTAAAAAGGGCTGGGGAGCCAGCCCTTACTTTGTTTAGAGACAAGACAAGAGTCAGTTTTGGCTTTCTGAATAGAAAGCATAACATAAATCCATATATATTTTTTAAGTGGTGAGAGTTTCATGCCCTTTGCTGTACACCACTCCTCTCTAACCTTTTCCCATGACAGACTGCCAAACAGATTCAGCCTCTTTTTGGACAGTTCTAGTGACAGGATATCATTGCTTTGAGAGCAGCCCATATCATTATCAGACAACTCTATTGCCTAGAAAGTTCTTAAGAAGAACCAGAGTCTACCTTTAGAAAGTTTCAACCATTGTTCTATCCGTATTCCCTGACATGACACAGAATAAGGAATTCAAAGTAATTGGAAAGTCTATGGGCTCAGAGACATATATTCTGAGGCATTTCAATTCTGAATCCCAGCTCTGTCCTTTACTAAGTACATGTCCATAGATGCATTGTTTAACAGCTAGGAGCCTTAACTTCCATATCCATTAAAAGAGGATAATTACCCAAAACAGCTGTGAGGATTAAGATAGCCCATGGAAAGCTCCTGACATCTCATCAGTGTTTGATGAACATTAATTTCTTTTTCTTTCATATTCATGAAAATCCTTCAAGTACTTGAAGACAATTCTGCTATTTCCCCTATATCTTTCTTTCCAGTTGAACATACCCGGTTTACTTCGAACACTTCTCTAGAGACTTGCCCATGAGCTCCAGGAGGTAGACATAACTTACTCAATCCTGAGCAATAATCAGTTCTTGGGGGATGCTAACTAATCAGAATTAAGATGACCTCCATGTGCCAAACCTATTCTCAGTAGAACTCTTCTTCTTTTAGAGGGGATACTGAGACATTGTAAACTATCAGGGTGGGATTCCCCCACTCACACAGACACTATTCCATTCTCTTGCATTTGCCTCGATTATCAGGAAACTCAGAACAAGGTTTTTTACTCAAGGGCAATGTTACCCTTAGCCTCAGTTGTCTCAAACAATTACCCTCATCCCCACCCTCTTCATTAGCTCTCTTTTATATTCACTTTTTATGAATCTGTTGTCTATTTCTTACTGTCTTTGAAAAGGAAGCAAAGATTTTTAAAAATCTATTCTCTTTTTTATTTTAAAATCAAAGAGAAGAACTGAATATATTTCTCCTGATAGTTAAATTTTTTTTCTTTTTCTTTTTCTTTTTTTTTTTTTTTGAGAGGTTTTTGCTATAGGGCGCGTGCGCTCGCCAGATAGAGAGAGACATAGAGACAGAAAGCGAGAAATCACCCCCCAGGGAGGATGGTCACGCCACAATCCCTTCTCCTCCATTATCCTCTCAGGATCTCGGGCACGCACGCACATGCGCCTGGCGTGAGTTTTAAGCCACCGGGTCCGGGACGTGAACCGCGGTCGACTACGTGGGAGTCCAGCGACATAGCCATTACGCTAACTGCTGGTTCCCATAATTAAATATTCTCTACTAAAATAAAAATAGGAGGTCATAAAAACATTTACCTGTTCAGCATCTCAGCCTCACTTCTTTCCCCAGCTTGATGTTACTGTGTCACCGCCTTGTCCTTTACATAGAGAACACAGTAATACAAATATTCATTTGTAAGTTCTTTGGATTATAAAAATGCCTTTAAAAAGCAGGTATCAAACAACTTTTTTTAAAATAGCACATCTTAGTAAGCAAGATTCTGCATACGCAACAAGAGATATTTCCCCCCCCAACTCTGCCTCAGGACAAGGAGAGCAGAGGATTGAAGCACCTGAATCAACTGGTATCTCCACTTTTGTCACAAGGCTAAATGGAGCCTTTATTTTTAAACACATGAGTGGCACCCATCTTTCAGGTCTGCATACACAACAAGAGATATTTCCTCCCCCTCCCCAACTCTGCCTCAGGACAAGGAGAGCAGAGGATTGAAGCACCTGAATCAACTGGTATCTCCACTTTTGTCACAAGGCTAAATGGAGCCTTTATTTTTAAACACATGAGTGGCACCCATCTTTCAGGGTTGGGTCAAATACAGGCCATCCTGCGGGCAGAGAGAGGAATCAGATGACTTCTGAGGTCCCTGACAGTCCTATGACTTATCAAACAAAAATGTAATTGTGTCCATAGGTTTAAAAAAAAAAAAAAAAGGTTTTAAATCAACAACACCCTGAGTATACTTCAAAACTATAACGTATGAAAGTCAGTAAATGAAACAAGAAGCCCTTTCCCTTTCTTTGGATGAGTCTAAAGTCAAGAATTAATTGAAGCTTCCTAAAGAAAGAAATAAAAATAAAATGAACTGACAGCAGAGAAGTGGGGGAGACAGTTTGGTGATGATGAATCAGATCACTAGACCCAGAGGGTGGCTCCTTTTTAACTGTGCAATTAGGGACTCAATAAAAGGTGTGCTGTCTGCTCTCAGCTCACAGCACGCCGCCCCACAGTCCACTTGCTCCCACTTGTGAACAAGGTAGGTCTCACAGACTATCTGCTTGAGCATACTTAGGATCTCCGTGGCTGCTTTGCTTTTACATCAGTCTTAGGGGATACACTCTGAGTTGACTCATTAATAATATTAAACTAGGAGCTCCAACCATGCAGATACACTTCTTGCTTATGAAATTGTTTTGATCTTTTACTTTCTAAAAAAAAAAAAAACTGCTTGAATGACATAGACATGAATATGATTTAACAAGATAGGGGACTACAATGTATTGGGTTATCAGAAAAATCATAATGTATTTTTCTATGCAGAACTTCACCATGACTTTTCCAATGACCCAATATTAAAATTAAAATGAAAATGTATTTATATGGTGGGTAATGGCTGAGGAGTCCAGGCTCTGCTTCATCAATGAGTTTGTACGGAACCATGTCTTCTTGGTAAAACCATGTTGCTTCTTTCTGCAAATATAAGGGTTGATTTTCTTGCTGTTCTAGCTTTCCTCTAGAAGCTTTGCCAATTTAAAATTTATACTTTAATAAGTGGAGGAGGTTGTACTGAGAGGAAAAGAGCAGATGGGTAGTTTCAGATGGGGCTGGAAGGATGACTCCTACTCCATTGACTTCATTTGTGCATTTCATTACCTACATTTGAATTATTTTTCTTTATTTTTTAACCCTCCTTTGACAATAAAGTTTTCTCCGAGCACACCAGCACTGTTGTTTACTGCAGGGTGGGGTAAGTAACTCTTCTAATACCTACCTATGGTAGATCTTATCTCATCACAATGTCTAGTGCAAGATTAAATTACCCCCAGAGTTCAGATATAATATTTTATGATACAGAATAGAATAAGTGTTGCAAGTGGAGCTGGGAGAAGAACAGAAAGAATGACCTTGGTATCCCTTTCCAGAAGAACTCATTCTGGGAAATAAGCTTTGTTTGTTCTTTCTCATAGTCTCTCCTGAGTCTGTAAAGATGCCTCAGCTGCTGAGACATGTCCTGTGTGTGATTGAGACATTCCACAAGTATGCCAGTGAGAACGGTGACTCTCTGACCTGCAGAGAGCTGAAACAACTCTTCCAGCGAGAGTTTGGGGACTTTCTTCAGGTGAGGTGCTCACAGAGCTGTGAAACTTCTTCCCTATTTGTCCTTTTTCTATAACCCAGGCAAGATGGTCATAACTGATCCCTGATCATTTTACACTTACCTGCCAACTTTCAGGACTCACTGACTTTTGAACAACTTTTGTTCAGTCTTAGTTCCCTACTCTGTGCAATTGCTTAGTTAATCTTATAGAAAAAAAAAAAAAGAGGTTTTCTTCACTGGAACTATTACTTCATCAAAGAAGACTTCTTTGAGGAATCACAAACCATCATATATATAAATTCAACTCACAAATGATGTAAATGCTCCCTCTTAGTTATAGTTCTCTCGTGAAAAATGGCATTCAGAACCAACAAATTCTTACTGTTTGGGGAAATTTTACTAGTTGCTAAGGAATGGGGTGAAAAAAAAAGAGGATTCTTGGGAGACATACAGAAACTCAAGACATTTGATCACATGTGAATAAGCTGATTTCTCCTGTTTTTTTTTTTTTTTCCATGCAGCCACATGTCATTCATGCTGTAGAGAAAAATTTGAATCTTCTGGATATTGACAATTATGACACCATAAGTTTTGATGAATTCATTCTTGGAATCTTCAACTTGTTGAATGTATGCTATCTTGACATACAATCATTACTAAATTCAGAACCAAGACCAGAGGAGAAGTCAAATGATGTGGATCTTCAGGGGACCCCTAGAAATGGTCAGCAGACAGCAAGAACTCTACCAACTCAAGAAAATGTGATATTTCCTTCAAGAATAGCATTATCAACTCCGGTCAGATCCGAAGAAAGTGAAATAGTTAGATACAATAGGGTGGATCCATGGGGAGACAACAATACTCACAACCAGCCAGAAGCACCTATGTACAATAACCCTAAGAACCAACACCTAGAAGGAAACAAACAGAGCCAGGGAGTGGTCCAAGATATACCAGCAACAGAAGATAATGGGGACCAATTTAAGACAAACAAGCCAGTGACAGGATCAGACAAGACTAGCAGTCTCACAAAGGGAGAGGGACAGGATAAGGTGACCCTGAGGGAAAAAGATAAATCAGCCAAGGAGCGAAGTGGCACCAAGACAAGAGACTGGTTTAGAGAACAGGAACAGATCTTGGGAACCCAAAGTTCTCCACCAGAAGAAATAACACAGAGACCATCTGAAGATCAGGAAGTTGCCATAGAAAAGGGTATTAAGAAACATTCTAAAAGAAAAGAACCACCTCTGCAAAAAGATGAGCCCATTTCAGAACATGCTGACCTGCCAGAACAAGCTGCTGCCAGTAAACCATCTCAGACACAGAAATCAAATGACTCTGAGGATGATAGTAGAACACCTCATACTCAAGAACCAGGAAAGGAGGCTGACAGAACACTACATGAGACAACAAATGTCCATGAGCCTGAGGATTATGGTAGAATATCTGAGACCCAAGAACCACCTGCACAAGATGGTGAAACAAAATCCCCATCAGTCCAAGGTGGTAGCAGAAATGTTTCAGAAACACCTGGTCTTGACACTAAAAGAGAAGAGGTGAGAGATCCTGAAACCCATAAAACAGCAGGACAGCGTGAGAGAAAAACTCAATCATCAGCCCTGAAAGCCCAAACACAGAGTGAAAAGTATGAGAAACTTCAGGACTCATCAAAAGAAAAAGAAGCTGTAAAAGGTTCTGAGACACAAGAGCTAAACTCAGAGGGAGGAAATCAAAATCACCCTGAAATTGAAGGGATAGCAGTCCCAGGAGAGGAGGCAAAATTCTCTGAAGAAGATACAGCAGAAGCATTTGCAAACAATAAAAATGGCCCTGCAGCAGAAGGAACACCAGGAACAGGAGAGAGAACACAAAAGTTAACACCTCTTGAGAACCAGTCTAAAGGAAAAAATGGGGTCACCAAGACTCATAATAAGCCAATCAAAGAGGATAGTGGTTACCAGGGGAAGGATCCTGAGTCACTACTTAAACAGAATGATGAGAGGTCCTCTGAAACCCCCAACAGCCTGGCTCCAGAGGAAGGTAACAGCAACTCAGAGACACACCTTGAAACAGAGGAACCTGCAACATTGGAGGAAGAGAATGAAGATCCCCAAAAGCTGACAGAAGGTGATGACCAACAAATTCCAGGCAAGACAAAATATAATTCTTCAGTCCCCCAGTCAGGCCTTGAAGAGAAGACACAGAGAGATCAAGATGCCAGTTGTGTGGAGAGGGGTGCAGTCCATTCTAGTCCACTACACCACCTCCTGCCGGGGATGATACTGCAACAAACAGATGTAACCCCAGAGGAGCACAAAAATCAAGCTCAGACAATCCAGGCATCAGACTGAGAGCCTGGCAATGACCAGTCAAGGGCAACCCTAAGCAGCAAGGTCTCAGATTGTCCTGTCTTTCTCAACTGCAGCCAAGTATCACAACAGTATACCCAGGAATTTCTGTCTGATGAAGATTCTGCTGATACACAGCACATATCAACTCCCCAGGCCTTGGAAAATAAATAGGGTCACCCTCAGAGAGAGAAACCAGTACCACAAAGGGAGGTGAGCACCACAAAGCAATGAATCATCATCAAAGGGGAAGAAGTTATAAGAAACTTTATATAAGCCTCAGACATCTTCCTTCCCATTCACTCTCAATCCTCATGTGTGCACATTGAGATGCAGATCAATAATCCTTTAAATTCTCTTCCTAAAGTTCTATGAGTTCAAATAACAAAGTATTGAGCAGTAGAAAACACCACCAAAGAAACATCTAACCAAACAAATCCAATCAGTGAAAATTCTACAATATGGTGCTCCTCCCAAATGCTAAAATGGACTTTCTCATGAGACAATTTATTTAAATTTACCTGTCACTAAAAGCAGAAAAATCCTTTATGAGTTCAAATAACAAAGTATTGAGCAGAAAACACCACCAAAGAAACATCTAACCAAACAAATCCAATCAGTGAAAATTCTACAATACGGTGCTCCTCCGAAATGCTAAAATGGACTTTCTCATGAGACAATTTATTTAAATTTACCTGTCACTAAAAACAGAAAAATCCTTTAGCAGAAGGAAGTTATGAGACTCTGCAATACTATCATTGTATCACCAAAATCATAAAATATTAATTCATAGATACAGAATATTCTCCTTCTGGCATTTCCTAGAGAGATTTCAAGTTTAGCCTAAAATTTTACCCCTTGGAATAATCTCAGCTATCACCATGACTTAAAATAATTATTATTTTCTAGCATCTGGTTAAAGTATCAATAAATCCATGGTTTTTGTTCATGGCCAGGTACAGTTCAATCTAGGCCAAGGATTCACTTATTCAACCATTCGTTCAACAAACTTTTATTATGTCACACTCTTTATATAGCTTATGGCTCAAATTAGCAATCAGATGAAAGAGAGAGAAATAGAGACCTATGGTGTAGTTAAATAAATAAGTTGGTGATTGATTTCTTTTGTCGATCCATTTCTTTTTCCTTATTTCTCTATCTTGCCTTGGAAACATTGATCAGAAACAAAAATAATCTAGTTTCATTTTTTTTAAGAGACAATAATTATAGGATGGTGCTCTCAGAGCTTAGTAACAACCCAGGAATTGAATTATGTCGTTATAATATAATGTTTCCTGAAGCCAAAAAGCAGTCCAGTACTCCATCTCCCAGTGCATTCCCACTTTGAGACTCAATATTCTTCCACTTCAATTTACATCTCTTCCAGACCCTAAAAATCCAAGTGAGATATCCTTCCCCTCCAATGTTTTCAGCTCTTTGTATCTTAATTTCAAACATAAATGAGCATCACAATCTGAAAAAAATACTCTCTTAAATGAACAAAAGACAAGGCAATTTGCAAAACACACACACACACAAGAGCATAAATTAATCAGCCCTTTTGTCAAGCAACTTAGCACTACATATTTGGGCCCATAAAAATGACAAAGTTCATGGATAATAAATTCACCAAGAAAAAGCTATATAGAGGTCAATGAATATATGCAGTCCTTACTGGGCTTCAATAAAATGCAAATTACAAATTAGTAAAAGTTGTTTGCTTATAAGAAAGAGCAGAGAGAGAGGAGAGGAGTGGGAAGAGAGAAGTCATTCATTCCAAAACATTTGTTTAAAAAAAAATGCAAGACCAGCGGATGCCTTAATGGTTATATTGCTGGACTCTATTAGGCCAGAGGCCTGGGCAGCTTGGATGTGGGGCTTGGATGCTACACCACAGTCAGCTGATGCAACCTGGATCTGGTCTGTCATCAGACCTGTGCTGCACCCAGATCTAACCCAGATGTAGCACACGGGGCTCTACTCCACACACTGCACTCTACTCTGCACACAGGGCTCTACTCTGCACATGGCACCAAACTTTATGCAGCTCAGTAGTCTGCTCTTCCTCTAAACCATTACCACACATGGACTGTTTCTACCTCTAAGACACTCCCCTTATATACCTATACCCTTATAAAAAAAATTGCTAAACCCCACCCTAGGGCACTTTTCTCGCCCCCTCTCTCTTTCTCTGTTGGAACAGCTCTACATTTCTTTAAAAAAAAAAAAAAAACTTTAACTTTACTTGTTATTATTATTTATTTATTTTAATTTGACCAAAGAGACACACACACAGAGAGAGAGAGAGTGAGAGAAGGGGAAAGTGAGAAAGCAAGCAGCCAGATCCAGGACTTGAACTGCAGTCGGCAGTTAAGGAGCCCAGCACCTTAACCACCATGAATTTATTTTTAAAGTTTGTTTATTTCTCCTATGAGAGAAACACAGAGAGAGGAAGTCTCAACTGGATATTCGCACCACAACACAGCCCTAGTTTTGGCTGGCCCAGATTATGGGCATGTGCGGTGCTCCAAGAGGTCCTGGTACCATACACCCAAGACCTTCCCCATGCAGGGCCCATTGAATTACCACTTTACCAAAGACTGGCCCCCATTCCCAGGACTTCAAAATAAATACAGAGATCCAGGAACTATTCTAGATTCATTTAATCCAAATCACTAGGAAAGACATATGAGCTTCTAAAAGGTTCATGATTGTGATGTCTGACCCTAGATAGAGCTCTCCAGTGGTGTGCCACACGTTATACCCTTAGCTATACTCAGAACCATTCCCATTTAAAGAAAAACAACTAAAAATAATTCACAGCTACGTAGCAATAGCATGGGAGTGTCGTCATGGGGTTTGGATCACACAGCATTTAAGATTCCTCCCAAATCTCAAGTTTCTATAGCTGAAACTTACAACTGGCCACTTTCAATGAATATACACATGGCCAAGAAAACTTACTATTTTACCAGAAATATCCTAATTGATCTCTCAAACAGATTAGAATTCAGTAATGTTAATGGAACATTCCCTCTGATTTACTGAGGGGAATACTTTTCCCTTTCTCCTCATGCTTGGGTGATGGGAAGAAAACTTCTCTTTGCTCTTGGGGAGAGAGAACAAGCTTTCTGGGCCCTCATTCCTTCCTTCCAAACAGAGAAGGGTCTTATCTGACAGGTGATACTGGGAGAAGAAAGTGAGCATGTGTGCCCCAGCCCCTGGTGGGTTCCCTACCTTGGGGAGCTAACTGCGCTTGGATGCAAAGATGGGCTCTTCCCCTATGAGGCAGGGCCCTGTGGTTCTCTCCAATATTAGGGAGTCTGACTGAAGAAAAAGTCAACCTTGTTCTCTATTTTACCTCCATGACCAGCAAAGCTGATATTTTCATTTCTCTTCAACTTCCATGTCTTATTTCTTGACTTGTTCCAAAGTGAAGAGGAGAATGAAGGAGTTACTTGGTATTGTCCTTAAACCCCGCACGCAGCACAGTATGACAGAAGTTGTAATGGTACATATCTACAACTCTTATGTTCTGAACTAACTGCATTCTTTTTTCAAGTCAATGAACAATTATTTTTAAAGTATTATACAAAGTACTTTTAAAGTACAGAAAGAATAAAACATTATATAAAGGCCCTCTTTCTTTACTGGAATAAAAAGTTTAGGAATTCCAACTGCCGAATTGTTTATTTCTAGGAGACAATAATATGGATCACGTTTCCACTTTTTTGGGGACTCTCTCAGTCATGATCTGCAGAAGTTGGTCCCGGGCAATTTGAAGATAGAACTTCTTTATCTTCATACACTGTTTCACACCAAATACAATACAGATGTTCTTCTCTTAAATAACTAGTCAATATTTGTAATTTTCCAGTACACTTAAATCTTCACTGTTATATTCATCTTCATCCTATTCTTTTTCTTCCTCTTCCTCTTCTTCAGTCTCCTCTTCAAGTTTCAACCAGTACCATGCCTCCCTGGGAACCTGAATATTCTTCTGGGCATCTAACTATTGACAGGCTCGCTGGCTTCTTTTAATATCTCCTTCTAGCTTCATTTCATCTTGCTTATTTTTAAGTTGCATTTGAAACTGTTGTGCAGCTTTCTGTTCAGCTTGGTTTTTCATGTGAATCTTTCTTCTGTAGCTTTCTAATTTTTCCTCTGCTTTCCATTTTAATAATGTCTCATGACCAATATCACTTTTCCCTATTTTGACATTGAGAGGAATCAGTTCAACAATACCATCTCCGCTCTTGCCAAGAGTCTGACCACTTTTATATCCCATCTTTTGGAGCAAAGCAAACCCTTGGTTTTCACAGCCAAGTGCATTCTTCAATCCAATGTCATCTCTCTTATTCTTCCTCTTTTAAACTCTTCTGCCTATTTTTCAAATTAGCTTCCTGTTGTTTTTCTTCTTTTTGACAGGCTTCTCAGATTTGCCTCAGCATTGGCAATCCTGGTCTGATATAATCTTGGACATTAATGAAGGAATCAGACATATAATCCTCTTCTTTTGCCATGCTTAATTTCACATGGTAATGGTATCTGGCAGCTCTCAGGTCCAGTTCCAGAGACCGGTCACTCAGACCAGCTCTATTTTCTCTTTTCTCGTGTGGTCGGCCCATTCCTTACAGACTCCCACATGGTGGACTATGGTTCAAGTCCTGGACCTGGTGGCTTAAAAACTCACACCAGGCGCGTGTGCATGCATGCCCAAGATCCTGAGAGGAGGGGGAAGGAGAAGGGATTGTGGCATGACCATCCTCTCTGGGGGTGATTTCTTGCTTTCTGTCTCTTTGTCTCTCTGGCAAGTGCATGCACCCTATAGCAAAAAATCTCTCTTTAAAAAAAAAGTAAATAAACAGGTTAGCCAGATACAGGGTGGAATAAGAGATGCATAAGTGAACAAAACAAATAAGCACTGTTCTTCCTGGCGCTTGTACTCCAACAAGGGAGAGGAGAGACAAGTGACAAACAAGTACAATATAAACAAACGATAATTCTAGGTAACAAAGCAAGTCAATGTGATAAGGGTTGGAAGAGGAAGAAAGAGGCAGGCAGAAGTGCTGCTCTTTTATCTACAGTAGAGTGTACTACTGTGAACTTTTCTGATGCCCTGAGCCAAAATACTTTTTTTTTTTTTTCCTGATGCCCTGAGCCAAAATAGTTTTGTTTTTGTTTTTGTTTTCTTACAGTTCTGTTGGCTGGAAATTTCAGATCAAGGTCTGGCA